GGTTTTAGTGAGCTTTTTATTTTCATTAAGTTACTAGAAATTTTTCAGGAACACAAGAATGATAAATTTCAAGTATGATCTATTACCACATACTCACCTGGAATTATTATGGTGAATGTTGCAAGCCCTTGCCATTAGCACCACAATCATTGGTCGAAAGGCCTTTCCTTTCCCATCAAAGTAATAATCACACATTTCCTTAAGTTCTGCTGTAGATACAAGTAATTCCTATAGAAAGAAAAAGAATGTATCAGCATAAAAGTCACAAAGCAAATCTGTTTAGCATAAGCAAACCAGTATGTATGTATACCATAACTGCCAGTATTATTTTTTTTTTATTAGGGACCTTAAAGATCATCTAGTTCCAAGCCCCCTGCTGTGGGCAGGGACACCTTCCACTAGACCAGGTTGCTCAAAGCCCCGTCCAACCTGGCCCTGAACACTTCCAGGGAGTGGGCAGCCACACCTTCCCTGAGCATCTTGCTCCAGTGTCTCACCACCCTCACAGTAAAGAATTTCTTCCTTATACCTAATCTAAATCCACCCTCCCTCAGTTTAAAACCATTACCCCTCATCCCATCACTGCACTCCCTGATAAGAAGTCCCTCCCCACCTTTCCTGTAGACCCCCTTGAAGTACTTGAAGGCTGCTATAAGGTCTCCCCAGATCCCTCTCTTCTCCAGGCTGAACAACCCCAACTCTCTCAGCCTGTCCTCACAGGGGAGGTGCTCCAGCCCCCTCATCATTTTTGTGGCCTCCTCTGGACCTGCTCAAGCAGGCCCATGCCTTTATGTTGCAGGCCCCAGAGCTGGACACAGAACTACAGGTGGAGTCTCATGAGAGTGGAGCAGAATCACCTCTTCGACCTGCTGGCCAAACTTCTCTTGGTGCAGCCCAGGACATGGTTGGCTTTCTGGGCTGCCAGCACACATTGCTGGCTCATAGTCAGTTTTCCATCCACCAATACTCGCAAGTACTTCTCCTCAGGGCTGCTCTCAACCCACTCTTTGCCCAGCCTATATTTGTGTTTGGGATTGCTCCAACCTATGTGCAGGACCTTGGACTTGGCCTTGTGAATCCCCCGAGTTCTGCATGCGCCCACCTCTTGCACCACAAAGCCTGGTGTCATCGATGAACTTGCTGAGGGTGCACTCAATCCCACTGTTCATGTCACTAAGACGTTAAACAGCGCCAGTCCCAACACCAACCCCTGAGGAACACCACTTGTCACTCCTCCCCCTACGTTGACACTGAGCTGTTGACCGCAACTCTAAGTGTGACCATCCAGCCAACTCCTTATCCACTGAGTGCTCCATCTGTCAAATCCACGTCTCTCCAATTTAGAGACAAGGATGCTGTGTGGGACAGTGTCAAATGCTTTGCACAAGTCCAGACAGATGACATCAGTTGCTCTTCCCTTACCCACCATCGCTGTAAGCCCATTGTAGAAGGCCACCAAATTCATCAGGCACAATTTGCCTTTATTGAAGCCATGTTGGCTATCACCAATCACCTCCTTATTTTCCATGTGCTCTAACACAGCTTCCAAGAGGAAGCTCAGTAGTGTTGTTAGGTGAGACTGACTGGCCTGTAGTTCCCTAGGCCTTCATTTTTTCCCTTTTTAAAAATTAGGGCTATGTTTCCCCTCTTCTAGTCAGTGGGAACTTCACTGAACTACCAGAGGTTTTCAAATATGATGGACAGTGGCTTAGCTACTTGATCCACCGGTTCCCTTGGGCCCTGAGTATGCATCTCATCAGGTCCCATGGACTTGTGCACCTTCAGATTCCTTAGATGGTCTCAAACCTGATCATCCCCTAGAGTGGCTGGTTCTTCATTCTGCCAGTCCCTGTCTTTGCATTCTGTGATTTGGGTGGTGTGGCTGGAGTACTTGCTGGTGAAGACTGAGGCAAGAGTCACTGAGTACCTCAGCCTTCTCCATATCTCCATGTTCATTACACCCAAAGTAAGCTGAGCTTGTTTACTATGAGTAATCTGAAACATAAATAATGTATTCCAGCAACGTACATCGGGAGAGAAAGAAAAAATGCATTCTGGTTCTACAAGATATGTAAAAAATGCTCTCTTTGCCTTCAGTTTAAGTCTCAGACAGCTGTTCATTAAACATAAATAATATTCTTTCAATAACTATCTTCCAAAGTGATGGTTGCTATTAAAATCAGAATCATCAAAACATCCCAGAATAGTCACCAAAATCCCTTACCTTTTTAATATCTTCATAGAGATTCTTCAAGTCTTTTCTACCAAGTTGAAAAGGGTCTTGGTATTTTTCATTACTAACTGTCTTACTGCAGCTGCACAAGTGGGATGTACTTGTGTGTTGAAATCTGGTGAGAGTGTTTTTCAAGAGGATAATGTTGTTAAAAGCAAACTTTCCCTAATTCCCCCAAAAGAAATATTTCAAAGCATTTCCTCCTCCTCCTCCTCTCTCCTCATACAAAATTTAACCAAATGGATAAAATACAAGCAGAAGGCATCAAAACACTCTTTTCAGCCACCTAATAAGGTGCAAGGACAAGCACAGCTACATATTGACGATCATAGACTTTTAGGAGCTGGCAAAGCGTAGCACTTGGCAAACAATAAACACCCCACCCGTAACAGATTTCAGAAGTCTTTTGAGACGAATAAAACTACACTGTTCTCATTGTATTCCTTTTGAACCACTATTGATAGTATAGAGTACATTTGGAGATGAAGCCTTCATCTTCCAGTAACACCTTTATTCTGTTGCTTCCTTCCCTCTCCTGAATACTCCTGGAAAAACATTCCTGACTTGGATTTGAAAATTCTCCTTTGCATACTCACTACATTACAAATTATACGTTAAATCAGTACTTCCAAGTAGCATGATAATGCTATGAAAGTTCATCAGTGAAGTGTGAAAGCTCCACCTGGATGCATTAAGATGCAGCAGGCTTAGGCCTGATTGTTTTTATTTTCACTGGAGTTGAAGTTTATGCCTCTTATTATGTTTCCCTTTTCAAAGTGAACCATATGGGTTTTCTTGGGGCATTCTTGCTTTGCCTGTTGCCCTTGAGGATGGAGGACTTAAGAGATTCAGACTCAGCACCATAGCATCAGCCTGCAGAGAAATATCCAACTATGTACTAGAGCAAATAACTTTATTTTCAAAGCATACAACTCACAGGGGTAACTACCCACTTCACCCACTATGTCTTTACCCATTACACACCAATACATATCTCCAACTTACCGCCAAAATATATTACATATTTTTGGAAATGATAAGGTTGAACTTCTTTGGGTAAAGTGACACATCTGCACAAAGAAAAATCAGGGTTAATTTAATATATCTTTAAACTGACAGAAGACATCTGATTCAAAAAACAAGTGTCTGTTCATCAGCACAGCTCTATTTCTCCATTTTAACAACCCAGCAGCAAAGGGAGTCTCAGAATTTCCTTCCATATCACACGAGATATAACTGCCAATATGTAGATTAGCTTCTGACTTAAACGGACTCTTCCGCTCAGGAGTGTTGGACTTTCTCCCCTCGCAGGACCAGCCAAAAAGGCCTATCAGTTAACTTCCCAGAACTGCTCTAAGGAAACTTTGCTTTTGCACTCACGGAAGGTGCAATTTTCAGACGTGCCCTGTCTTGCAGATACATCTGGACTGCCCCAGTCAAGGCATAGAGAGAAGAGCTGTTTCTGTAAACTAATACACTGACAGAAGATCATGTCCTTGTTTTGCCCTGAAGCAATTTTAATTCAGCGTGCTTCTTATAACTTACACCTGCACATCTTCCCTGCTAGATGTCAAGAACCTGACCTCCAAACCTAGCAACCTCCAGTGATCTCTCCCTGCAGACAGAGCCCCGGAGCCTGGGGGATGGTGCAGTCCCAGGTACACGCTTCCAGCAGAGATAGGCTGAGAAGGGAAATGCACCTCCTGCACTGTGCCTGGCAAAGCTGCCAGGAACTACCCAGCCCTGCCCTGGAGTGCACGCTGACTCAGAGTCCCAGCCGGGCTGACCCTGCCTGAAATCACTGCAATCCATGTGTTCACCAAACTGCCTCTCCAGAAGTCCACAAAGAAACTCTCAAGAAGACCTATAACTGGACAAGAGTTCCCCCAAGTTGCTCCTCATGCCTCAAGTGTCTCTAGTAAGCGGCTTTAAGTCTCTCCTTAGAAAAACAAGAGCACCGCCAGGGCTCCAGGACACCCTTCCATCCTCTTTGTGTACAGGATGAAAAGAGGCCAGGGAAGGAGATGAGGGAAGGAGAGGAAGAAGAGAAAGGAGAGGAACCCTAACTTACCACAGGTTTGGGAATCACAGCTATCTGACCTCAGTGCCTAACCCTATGGCCCCAAGACCTTCCTAAATTCACTCCCTCATACTTCTCATCGTTTTCTGTTGTTAAAAAATAGCTGATCTCTTCCTATTCTTCCTTATTGGAGGACACAGACTCTCTCCTTTACTGCTGCTTCACACGGTAAGAGCGGGTTGTACACGATGTCGGACACATCGCAACACTTTGCTGTTGGTCAGAACAGTGGCTCGGCCTTGTGAGGAAGGTCTAAGCGAATGCAGCGAGAGAACTGCCCCCCATTACAATTCACAATGCTACAAACACGTGGAAAATCTCACACTAGAGAGAACCGCTTTCCCTGCTCCCACCCCGAGAAGACTTCCGAGAGGATCCTCCCCGCAACAGCAACCAATCTGCCCTGAAAACCCTTCAGCCAGAACTTAACCTTGCACGGAGAGCGCTCCTGCCCCCTGCAAGGTCCCCCCCGGGCAGGGAAACGTCCGCCTGCCCTCGCCCGCCGGAACCGCCTTCGGGCCTTCTCGCTGCCCGGGCGGGAGGGCAGACGTGGGCCGAGAAAGGCTCCGCCCGGGCCCCCCCGCTGCCCCATTCATT